TGAGACAGATTGTTATGTCTCTGGAAATCCCCAAAATAGATGTTTTATATGTAAGTTAAAGCCTGGGTGAGTGTTTGTACACATTGTTGCCAGAAATAAGAAGAACAATAATGTTCTTTTTTGCTTAAAAAGAACAAAACTGAATTTCAGAAGTGTATGAAATAGCAGGAGAGTGATCCCAGCCCCTGTTCATTCTACTCCCTAGAGAATGAAAACGTGACCTGTGGTTATGTTTCCCTTGGTTTGTGCTGTGGGTGTACACATACAAGCATACCGTATGTACTTGTATGAGCCAACCCGAGTATCAGCTGAGGACCTAATTTTACCCCCAAAACTATTAAAAGTGTACTGAAAAACTCGGTTTATACATGAGTGTATATGGTACATCCTGATGCTTTGTTAATTAAAAAAAGAAGACCATGTGCTGTATGATGTTATGTTGGGTTTTGGGGGTGTTTTTTTTGCAATGTGTCATTTGCTGGTGCTACCATTGTTTGATGTTCACTCAGATGCTTGTATGTAACGTTTCCAACCCCCAAAGACACAGGTCAGATTTATAAAGATAATGGTGATAAAAGGATGGATCATAAAAACGTAATACAGAAGGCATTCAACTTGCATCAGAACCAGCCAGCTTATACAGTCAGTCAGGACAGCCCTGTCGTAAGTGGGGAATACTTGTGTGTTTACATCAAGTGTCAGAACAGCACACTTAGCCCCTTTAACAGTTTCTGTCAGCCAGAGGGCTCAGACTAGGTGTCCAACAGTGAATTTGATCTAGGAAGGTGACTAAACCAGGGAGGGCACCATGAAGAAGCACAAATAGAACACTGCTGAAACCAGTCACCACCCTGGTGTGGGAGAGCCTGGCACTTGGCAGAGAGGAAGCCACCTCTGCCTTTGAGCTGAGAGGTGCTGGAGCTTGAGATCAGGGGCTCGTGGGGGGTGCCATTGGTGTGAGGGGGAGGAGCAGGTGCCCCCTTCTTCCGATGTATTTCACAGTAGCTGTGTGTGTGGAACTTGACAGTTCAGTTTGTAGGTTATAGAATTTGAGAAAGGCATGAGTAATGTTGCCGAGAGATGGCACTGCTCTGCCTGTCTCGTCTGCTCAAAGGGTGGTTGCATCTTGTCCGGCAGCAGCGGTTGCGGGTAGGGGTGAGTGCGAGTGGAGCGCCGCGTGGGCAGGGAAGTGGGCTGTGCTGGAGGCGGCACTCCAGAGCCACCTTGCCGCCGTACCCTGTCTCCGATGCTCGGGTTGGAACTTGGCAGACAACACTTTCCCTTGGTCTTAAGTATATATTTAAAGTCAGGAAAAGCTCATTAGTCTCTGGGCCCTGGACTGTACTGCCTACCGGATGGAGCAGCCTGTGTGTAGGGCTCCTAAATAAGCCCAGGACGGGAAGAAGGCAATGGGATAGATTGTTTGTGTTCAAAAGCAACTTACTGGCTTTTGTGTACATGTGCGCGTGCGTGCGTGCGTAGCCAGCCTCAGCTTTTGAAAGTCTACAAAATGTCTTGTTACATGGCTGTGTCACACATTTTTACCCAACCCCCTTGCAGGAAAGACACAATTAATTAGGCTGCCAATCAAAAAGTTGGCAGTTCAAAACCACCAGCTGCTTTTTTGGAGAAAGATGTGGCAATCTGGTTCTGTAAGGATTCGCAGCCCTGGAAACCCCGTATGACAGTTCTGCTCTGCCGTACGTACCAGGTTGCTGTGAGTTAGAATCGATGTGATGGCAGTGGGTATCACAAAGGAGCCTTGGTGGTGGAGTGATTACGTGTTGGGCTGCTAACTGCAGGGTCAGCAGTTTAAAACCACCAACTGCTCCTCGAGGAAAGACAAGGCAGGCTTTCTGCTTCGGTGAAGAGTTAGTCTCAGATCCCTCAGGGGCATTCTGCCACGACCTGTGGGGTTGCTAGAATTGGAATCAGCCCGAGTTTGGTTTGGGGGCTGTGGGGGTCAGGTTTACTTCACTTCAGATGTGTGGGTATCACAGACAGTGCTTCCGTTTCTGTATGCAAGTGAGTCTGTCTGCAGGACCGTCCAAGTCATGGACGTGCTGGGCTGAGCTTGCTTGTTCCGAGTTCGCTAGCTGCTGCCAGGTTACCCCACAAAGTGTACACCACGAACAAAGCAGGAAATGCTTGTTTCGTGGTCTAATGCTGACTCTTAGTGGTTTCCTCCAGAGATAGAACGTTCCAGCAGTCCTCCTGCAGGCACTTTCCTTTCTTTACTGAAACCTTTCGAGCAGGTCCCTGCAGCACTCAAAGTCAAAACCAAAGCGCAGCCCTGTTTTCTACAAGAGGATGGCTTGTTAGGGGCTTTCAAATGACCTTCCAGGGTTGTCTGCTCGCTGCCCCCATTTCTTCACCCTGCATCAGTGACACTGCTGTGTGAACATCTCACTCGCTCACTGCCATTGAGGCGATGCTGACCGAGCGACCCTGTGGGACAGGGTAGAACTACTGCACTTGTGAGATCCTGAGACGGAAACTCTTTTTTTTTCTCTTCATTATTAATAATCATTTTGTTGGGGGGGCCTCTTACAGGTCGTATAACAATCCTACATATGTTGCCATCAACATTTCCAAAACATCTTCTTTCTCCTTGAGCCCTTAGTATCAGTTCCTTCCCCCACCCCCCGGCCCTCTCCCACCTTCCCACCCTTGGGAATCCTTGATCAATTGTTATTTTTTTTATTTCGTGTCTTACACTGTCCATTGTCTCCTGTCACCCACATTTCTGTTATTCATCCCCCTTGGGGTGAGGGGTTCTATATCAGCCTTATGATGGGGTCCCCCTTTTGCCACCTTATCCCCTTACCCTCTTGATATTGCTACTCCCTACTCCCACTACTGTTCCTGAGGGTTTATCTGTCCTGAATTCCATGTGTCAAGAGTTCTTATCTGTACCAGTGTGTGCACTCTGGTCTAGCTGGATTTATAAGGTAGAACTGGGGCATGGTAGTAGGGGTGGTGGTGGAGGAAGCATTCAGGAATTAGAGGAATGATGTGTGATTCATCGGTGCTGTACTGCACCCTGGTTGAATCGTCCCCTCCTTGTCACCGTTCTGTTGGGGGATGGCCTTTTGTCTACAGCTGGGCTTCGGGAGACTAGGACTCTAGAGGATGGGACGCCTGTTCTCCCACTTGAACATGAGTGGTCAGAAATTCCTGATCATTGTTTTTTTCTTTTTTAGAAATTGGTCAGAATGTAATATCTCTTCAATTCCAGACTTCATAACATTGATAGTATATGTGATAAACTGCTACCTTGGTCATTTTGACACCCATGCTAATAGAGGTCTCCTCCACAAAGATGAGCCACCGAGCACCCCAGCAGATGAAGAAATGGCATGCTGGAGCCTTCCAAACGGGATGTCAGACTGGGTGGTTGGAGCCATGAACTCAAGCCAATATCCTGAAAAAGAGAAATGAAGCCTGATTTTTTAATAGAAGAAATTCTGTGGCAGAATCATAGAGCATGGGTGCCAGTCACACCCAGACCTACATTTGGGGGCCTTTCCTTCAGCAAACATATACTCAGCTTGGTGTGGAGAGACTGGGCTCGGTACTGAAGATTCCCCCAAACAAAATCAAACCCACTGCCATTGAGCCCCTTCTGACCCCTAGAGGCCCTCCGGATAGGTCCCCCGAGAGTCTAGATCTTGATGGGAGCCCAGCCTCAACTTTTTGCAGAGTGGCAGGTGGTTTTGAATCACTCACCTTGTGGGTAGCAACCCCAAACTTAGGTCACTGTGCCCCCGGGTAAACCTGTGTACATTGTGGCCCTGTCAGTTCCCTACTAGTGCTGTTTCCTGAGTGCCCCCCTGCCCCAACACTTACTACAACTGCTGTTCATTTGTAGAATTGTGAAGAGCAGCATTCACTCCATTATTGCTGGGCCCTGTTTTGTGTTTCCTGCGGGAGGACTGATGCGTGCCCATTGGACTTCTCTGGGGTGGAGAGTGGGGGGCGGCAGCTGGTGTCTTGGTGGGTGTGCAGAGCATTGAGGAGTGCAGGCAGGCTGAGTGTGAAAGAATAGGAAGCGGCCAGCTCATAGCTTGGCGGGCAGATCTGGGAACCTGTCAGGCCACCAGGAACCCCTTGGAGGGGGTAAGCTTGAACAGGAGCTGAGCGGAACGGGTTCAGATGCAGTGACCATGGTGGCTGGCGTGGACAGGGTTGGAAGTTGGGGCGTCGAAGGGAATGGATTGGGTGTGGGCTTTCCTGCCAAGGCCAAAGCAGTGGGACCTTGGGGTGGTTGGAAGTGGGTGGGGAGGGATGACAATGGAATCATGGCTGCCCTCCGAGTTTCTGTTGAACCAAGTGGGTGGGTGGTGGGACCACTAACCCGGAGGGAGGACCGGGGGAACAGGGTTAGGTGCGTGGAAATCTAGAGTTGCATGTGGTCTCATTTTAGTTTGAGGTCCCCTTTAATTAGCGAAGATTTCTCTGGGTATTACAAATGCAATCTGAATCTCGTTTGTCTATTCCAGCTTTTTACTGGGACCTCCACTGCTCCAGTGGTTCTCAACCTTCCCAACCCCCAACCATAAAATTATTTTCGTTGCTAATTCATAACTGCAGTTCTGCTACTGTTATGAATCAGGCAACCCTTGTGAAAGGGTCATTCAACCCCCAAAGGAGTTGCAACCCACAGGTTGAGCACCGCTGGCTTAGACAGGGTTTTCTTTCACTTTCTCTGCAGTCTATTCCCCCAGAGACCTCTAGATGTCGCTGTTGACACAGAAGCACAAGGTTGAGCTTAACTTTTCTGTCCCCTTGATTGCCCTAAGACCCAGAAGTCACATAAACTAGTGGAGAGAGGATTTAGTCCCTGCTAATTTAGCAATAGCAGGTAGAGCTTGTGTAATGGAGGCAGCCAGGCCAGTTCTGCAGTCAGGAATCAATGGGATTTCAGAAGTGTGAGCTTTATGAATTTGTAATTTGGAACTTAGCCTTTGCCTGACTTTTGTACTCTTTTTTTTTTCCAGACAATTTATGAAAACCGGATATACAGCCTTAAAATAGAATGTGGACCTAAATACCCAGAAGCACCCCCCTTTGTAAGATTTGTAACAAAAATTAATATGAATGGAGTTAATAGTTCTAATGGAGTGGTAAGTTGGTTTTCCCCTGGCCCCACCTGTTCCTCGGGGCTTAGTCTTGACTTTGTACCACTCACTTCGAGTCCCTGCTGCAGCCCAGACGTTGGCAGGTTTGAGCTGTGGACCTTTTGCGTCACACCAGGCTGGCCCTGGGCTAGCCACTCGGAGATAGGGCCTGATTCACCTCAGGACACCCCGTGGAAAAGGCGTGGGAAAACTGAGGCTTAGAGGAGGGAGCGATCTCGCCCAGGATTGCACAGCTAACTAGTGCCGGTTACCTTTACCTCTTCGACCTTATTTAAGGACCACTGGTACATAATCTTTTGTCCTTTAATGTCCTTCCTTTTTATACTTCTTTTCCCGACCATAAATGGAAAACCAGTATCACTGGTCATAAGAAGGCAGCGATAAATGTTACAAAAACAAACGAGACTTTCTTATTCCCTGGGTTGCTTGCCAGAGGCTTGAAGCTGAGGTCTCCCATCATTCTTGCTCTATGGGGAGACCAACAAGCGCCAGGGTGGGAGCACCTAAGGCAGAGGAGAGAAGTGGAGAGTCGTGAGCCTGTGCAGGGTGCTGGGCACCGCTGCTCTCACTGGTCCTGCCTCGAGTCAGGAGCCTGGGACGCTCTGCCCCCACCTGGGTGCAGCTCCCAGTCCCAGCAGACTGCGTAGGGCCCAGGAGTTGAGCTTTTGTCTTACCGTGTGTCAGGACTGTGTCCTCATAGGGAGGGTTTGTGAGGCAGAGTGAACAAGGGTGCCTGGCAAGTGGCGTTGTGCGGGGTTTCTGCCCTCGGAGAGCATGTGGGAGATTTGTACGTTCCGCATGTGTACCGAGTGTCTTCAAAATTCCTTTTAAAAATAGAATTGAAAGAGCTTAGAGTTTCTCCATGACCATCCTAAGGTTCCCTGGCATTTGACTGAAGTGTGTACGGAACTTTCTGGGTGCATATACACATACCCCACCCATACTACCACCCACCCCCTGGAGGGCTGTCCTCTGGTCTGAGAGCCTCCTAGTCACTTGTTTGTGTTTTTCATAGGTGGACCCAAGAGCCATATCAGTGCTAGCAAAATGGCAGAATTCCTACAGCATCAAAGTTGTCCTGCAAGAGCTCCGGCGCCTAATGATGTCTAAAGAAAATATGAAACTCCCTCAGCCGCCCGAAGGACAGTGTTACAGCAATTAATCACCAAGAAAACCACAGGCCCTCCCCTCCCCCATTCGATTTAAGCAGTCTTCATTTTCCACGGTAGTACATTTTTTAGATAACGTCTTGTAGACCTCAAAGTACTGGACAGGAAGCTCCCATTCAAGGGCAAGTTATCTTAAGACACTGTACATGATACTAATGTTTTGTCCATTTGAAATATATAAGTTGTGCTCTAACAAATCCTCCGATCAAGTGTAACCACTGTCCATGTAGGTGAACTCCTTCCCGGGATCAAGAACGTCTATTTAAATTGATCCCCATCCTACCTGGTGGGGCACATCTAACTCAACTGTGAAAAGACACATCACACAATCACCTTGCTGCTGATTACATGGCCTGGGGTCTCTGCCTTCTCCCCTTTCCCTCCCCCTAGCGACATCCTCCTCCCTGCATCAGCCAGCCCTGCAGCTGGGGGCTTCTCAGATTAGATGTGAAGGGTTCAGGTTGCAGCCGATGGGACTACTGCTGGGTGTGCAGGGGGCCTACGTCTTTAATAATGCCCCCCATTCCAAGCCATCCTCCCCCACTCTCCTCCACTACCACCCTCGGCGGGAGCTTAGATTATAAACCCCCCACCCTCCTCTCTGAAATTGGCCTTTGGTGAGGAATTCAGGGCTTTCCCCATATCTTCCCTCCCCCCACCCCCCACACACCTGAGGCGTTTCCTTCCTCTTCCCAGAGTTCCTCCCTGCACCGATCACCTCCCCACCCCCTCCTTGGCACCTCCTTGCTTTGGCCAGAAGTCATCAGGTAAGGTTGCATAGAGTCGGGCGTTCCCTCCCCACCAGCCTGGGACGTGACTACAGGCTCCTCCTCGCCTGCCACCTTCTGTGTGCTGTGCTCGGCAACCGTGCGTTGTTTGCTCAGGTTGTGTTGTGGCAAGAACACTCCCCAGGGTTGCTCAGACCTGCCCGCCTGCCCACAAGGTCCTTGGTAGTTACCCTCAGAGAAAGGCCACACGGAGACCCTTGTGAGCACACCGGAGCCCTCCGAATGTTTTCTTGTCATTGCTTTGCTTTTAAAAATGGAAGACGTTTTAAACAGGGCTTTCACTTGGTCCTTGCTAGCCTGGGGGCTCTAACTTGGAGTCTGACAACTGGAACAAAGAGAACCTCAGATTCGGGGCGTGCTTTGGTTCCGTGCAGCAGCTGCTCCCAGCCCGTAGCAGGGACGGAAAGAACTCGGTGTGCATGGCAGGTCCCTGACATTGTCGGCCCTGACGACCTGCTGTCTTCCCCCACTGTTCGGGACGGGTGGTGAGGGCGGGCGGGCGGGCGCACACCAAGGTCTCTGGGGCACCAGGTGCTCTGCAGGGCCTGCTGTGGTTTTCCCTCGTTTACTTTCGTGTTGGGGAAAAAAAACCTTTTGAGTCAGGAACTATCAAGTCTGAAAAGCAATTAATGTTTCCATTCATCATTTTCTGAGGAAAATCTTTGTTCTAAGGATTTAAAATCCCCTGAGTAAAGTTTTAACAAGTATTCATTCCATAAGCAGCCCTTTTTTTGTCAGACCATTGCCTGGTTTTAATATAATTTTTAAAAAGGTGTATGCTAACATTTAAGAGGCTCTGCCCGTCTTCCTCTTGGCATATTACTTTAGGAGAATTTTGTGCCCCGGATGTTTTGTTTCGTCCTAATACAGGGCCTAGCAAACTGTTCTCCAACATCTGCCTCAGTTGGCCAGGACCTGGCCCTTGTGGCCCCAGAGGCAAAGTTGAACGGGTGATGTAAGAGAAGATAAACCTCCACCGTGTTTAAATGAAATTCAAAACAGAATAATTGGGTGTGATTTTTAGTGAGATCATGTTAGAGGCCTATAAGGATAATGGATTTGTTTTTAATGATCATTTGCTGAATTGAGTTCAAAGTTACTGCCCTGTGTGTGACCAGCCCACCTGCAGACGTTCTTCTGTAAAACTTGTTCTTTTATTTGCCGGGCTGGACAACACCAGACGTGGGGCTGGAATTGGCTCCCGGACCATCTCTCATTTGCCCAAGCTCTGTCCTAAAAGATACTGAGGAGGAGACAAAGCCCTTCCCTTGGTTTAAGTAGCCTGAGGGACTCTCGCTAGTCAGTCTCCACTGACAGCTGGGCGTGGTAGCCTGCTAGGAGAGGAGCCTGCGTAGGTTTTCCCAGGCATCCTGGTGCCTGGACGAAGGATTGAGAGTGTGTGTACCATGTGCCCACTGAGGAGCGGATGCTAATTCCCTGCTGCCGGCAGGCAGGACTGGGGTATTGTGGCAGGAGTGGGGCTGGCCCTTCTGACTGCTGTGGCTCTGGCTCGGGTTGCTCATGCTCAGGCCATGCTCCCTGAGTGCTCCCCAAGAATGCCCAGCGACCCTCTAGGCAGAGCGCTGTCCCCATGCCCTGAGAGGGGCTGGGCCAGGGACCTTCATGGATGGGCTTTCTTCACCCAAAGCCCCTCTCCCAACAGAGGAGAGAGGCACAGGAGGTTCTAACGTGGTTTCAGAATACTGGCCAATTCAAGATGGAGCTGAAAGGTGGGCAGCCCCCCTTCTGTACTGAGAGACCTCCAGGCAGGTGCTTCCCTTCTTAGAGGCTTAGAACCCAGCCTGGGGCTTGGGGATCTCTACTCTACACCTGAGAGCGCACACCCCTCACCCCTCACCCCCTCCCCCAGCCGTGTGAATCTGATCTGTGCTTGTAGTTCCACAGCTGTGGGATTCTCAGCTCTGGCTTCCCCAGTGGTCCAGTTCTACTCAAGGGGGACCACGTCTGACTGAGGTTCCCTGAGAGCACTGCTTTGTCTTAGAGAGCACCTGTCTCCACCCAGCCGGCCTCTCCTGTTCTAGCCCACTGTGTAGAACTGGGAGGGGCTGGTGCCGGAAGGTCTCTGTTGGGACCTGACACAGGTGCAGGGGGCGGTGGGTGCAAAAAGCCCCTTCTGGTTGATGGGCAGCCCAGTCATGAGACAGCCCCCTGATCCTGAGGTGGAGGCAGGTCCCCGAGCCATGTCCCTTTGGGGTGGGGGTGCTGTGGGCTACACTGCTGCCTTTGATTGTGATGTACAGAGATGTGGATGGAATTAAATAAATGGAACAGACCCTGCTGAGTGTCCTCGCACCTCTGTCCGCCAGGCGCCTACCTGGCCCCCTCCCCGTGGCCCACGCTGCTGGAGCAGGAGGGCACCCGTTGACCCCACTCAGCGACAGTAGGATGGAGCCAACTCCCAGAGAGCTTCCGAGGCCGTGGTCTTTACGGAGGCAGACGCCACAGCCTTCTCCCGCAGAGCAGCTGGTGGCCACAACCCGACCTGCTTGGCAGCTGAACCTTTGCCACTGCTGCCTGGGCGCCTTGGGTATGGTTCAGCAAGCCTGTGGGGTGGGCAGCTGCTGACACCCTTCACTGAGCAATTTGAGAAATGCGATGGTGTGTTCAAAGGGCCTGCCCCAAACCTGTAGTGGTTAATGAGGTCACCTGCTGTTGTGTTTAGTCCACGCAGGAGGTGGCCTGTAATGAGAGAAGCTGTCAGTGCGGGCTGGCCCTAGCTGCTGCTGGTTCTGCCTTAGCCAGGACATAGGGTGGGCACAGTGGGGAGATGGATGCCTCTTGGTGCGGCCCCAGGCACCCAAGGCAGCTGGGATACAGGCCTTTGTGTGAAGTCCGCCCACCTTAACTGTCAGTGAGCACACCTGTCCTCTTGTACAACACAGTGCCCTGGCCCACCCCAGCCTGCAGGTCACATGTTGACCCACTGTGTGCGGAGGACAAGTGACCTCAGGCCTGTCCCATCTCGGTGGCTTCCAACCACCAGCCTTTGCTGTTTGCCCCACTCGGAACCTGCAGGTGGTGGTTGAGGCGGACTCAGGCCTCCAGGAGGCCTGTGGTGCTGGGAATTCTACCTCCTGCAGGCCCTCAACAGGGGCGGTTGGCCAAGCTTCTAGGCAGAGGACCTCCCCTCCCCTCCCCGCCCAAATGGAATCTGTAACCTCCGTGGGTTTGCCAAGCAGACCCCACCAATGTGAAGGAAAGAGTCTGGTGGGACAGTGGTTAGATGTTCCCTGAGAACTGAAAGATGAGTGGTTTGAACCCACCACCATCCCCTCGGGAGAAAGACAAGGCCGTGTACTGTGATGATGCCAGCCTCGGACACCTGTGGGACAGTCCACTCAGTTCCATAGGGTCTCGGCTTGTTGGCAACCAGGTCACTGTATTTCTTACTGTAAGAGACTCCCCAGCTCCAGAAGTGCTAAGAGGTAGAGGTGGCCATTCCTGAACCCGGGAAAAGTGGGGCCTAAGCCAGCTGCTGTGTGTGTGTGTACGGTGCAGTCAGTCCACCATCCCACTCTGACACAGTAAATTTGTATGGAAGCAGACAGCCTCCTTGGTCACCTTCAGAGTAGCTAGGAGGTTTGAACTGCTGATACTGAGGTCAGCACTGCCAGATGGGAGCTGGAGGCTCACTTCCATTTTCCACACTGACAGTATGAGTGGGTAAGGGTGCCGATAGTGGGGAGGAGTCCTGGCAGAAGGGGTGCCTGTTAGCATGCTGGGGGTGGTGGGGTGGCCGGCCGGCTGGGGGTTCCCCAGCATGGTGTGTGCCAGTACACCTGGTAATGCCTTGGCCCCTAACCTAGCCCCTCTCAGCCTTAAGTGGGAATGTGGCACCCCACCACCGGTCCCCCTCCCCTCCCTAGCAGCACCCAGGGCTCTGTCCTCGTGCTGGTTGGTGTTTTTACTTACTTTTTGTTCTTCCGAAGAGCATGCCCCGCAAAATCAGATAACTCTCCCCTAGAGTTTCTCAAAGGAGCTCAGCGCTCCAGGCGGATGTACCACCGCCAGCTGGAGGCGGTCAGCGAGGGGGCCGCCCGGCCACGTCTGTATCTGGGGAAAGCTCTTGGGGGGCCACCCAACCCCTACACGCGCACGCACTTTATATTTCTCAGGCCTTCCAGCCCCGTCCCTCAACTTCGGTTTCTGGGGTGCTTTACCTCCGTTCTTGCTTCCCGGCGCCAAGAGAATTCACACAGCAGAAGCTCTTTCGTAAGTCCAAATGACTTGGAAGGAAGCGGTCCCACCGTCTCAAAAGTACAAGCGCTCTCTGCAAGCGTGCAAGGCATAGCCCTGGGACCGCGCCAGAGCGCGCGCCTGAGGCTGGAAGAGACTCTGCCACGCAGGGAACCCCGCGAGGGCGAAGCCCAAGCGAGCGGCTGTCCCTCCGGGCGGGCCTGCCTTTCCGCGCCCCCACGGCCGAGGGGCGTGGTCGAGGGCACCTGTGAACGCTGAGCGTCGCTTTTCAGCCGGAACGCCGTCTTGCAGAGGGGCGCCCGCTACGTGTTGCCCTGGCCGCATACATGCGAATCCACAGGAAAGGTGGCACTGTGGACATCGAGGGCATGCCGCACAAATGCTACCGCGGCGAAACCGGACGCGTCTGCAACGTTGCCAACATGCGAGTTAAGGGCAAGATCCTCGCGCAGAGAATCACGTGCGCGTGGAGCCCTCGCGCTGGGCGGGCACGCCCAGGAGGCGGCGGCCAAGGAGAAGGGCACCTGGGTCCAGCCTGCCTGCCCTCCAAGAGAGGACCACTTTGTGCGGACCATTGGGAAGGAGCCCGAGCGGCTGGAGCCCACCCACGGCCTAGTCTGAAATAAGCTGTCCCGGGCCAAAAAAGGAAAGTTGGTCCTCACCTGCGCCTAGGCCGTAGTTGCGCGTGCTCAGATTCCGTGCCGGAGCTCGGGCGCACCTGTGTGACGTCATGTCGCTGGTGCCTAGTACTGTGTGGGGCCAGCCTGACTTTCCTGCAACCCCGGTAGCTATGTGGCCTGGCCAGCTGATTTTCACTAGGCCGGCACTTGCGGGCGACAACCCCCTTTGTCCCTAATCTGGCTACCCGTCACAACCAGGGCTCCCTTCCCTCCGGCTGTTCTGACACCCTCCTCTGAGCCTCCCCACCCCACCCCCCGTTCCTTTACAGCTGATCTGTAATGTGGGGGCAAAGTGTCTTCATAAACCTCCCATTGCTCTGACTACTTTTTGTACCCATTTATTAAACAAGAAAACAACACTGCCATCAATTCGATGCCGACTCATGTTGACCCACCTGGACAGGGAAGAACTCCCCTCCGAGACGGTAACTAGCTACAGACTGAGCAGAAAGTCTCATCTTCCTCCCAGACAGCTGCTGGGGCTTCGAGCTGCTGGCCTGGCTTGATAGGAGCGAATTCTGTGAAGGGCCTCTCTGTCTGCGGTAGGGCTTCTAACCAGCTCATTCGGGTTCAGACTCCTGGAAATTTGCATTGCCACCCCAGCTGTACTGGACCAGAAGCTACCCTTTTGCCAGGACCACCTTGGGGATCTTGTGGAACCCAGAGATGCTTCAGTTGGTACATCTAAGGGGGATTTCTAATTGGATTAACCAGGAGGAACTGGTTCAAAGCCCTGGTTTGAGAACATGATTGTTAAAGTCTTATAAGGGCACCTGAGTACCGCTGGTGACCCCAGCTAGCTTTCCAATCAGATACTGTCCAGCCACCAACTCTGGGGGGCCTGTGTAGGTCAGAACAGAGCTGTGCTCCAGAAAGCTTTTCATCGCTACTTTGTTCACAAGTACCAAGAGCTCCTGGGGAAAACTCACGATCTTTTCATTGTATTTTCCATGAAATTTGTAAGCCCCCTCAGAGGTGACCAGATCTGATGGGATTCTGGGTGGACCTGAGCTTTCCGTCTGCAGCCGGACCCCTGTGGCCATCTCGAGCAGTCCTGAAGCAGTCGGCTTCGTTCTCTTAGTAGGTTCCAGTACACAGCTCATAGGGAGCGCCCCGTGGTCCACTGAGGGACGTTTCAGGAATGGTGCCTCTGGGCAAGGCGGTGTGGAAAATAAAGGCTATGGCTGGCAGGTGACTTCCTGACACACCGGGCAGCCTGGGCAGGTCTCTCCTTGTGAGGCTGACCTGCCAGGGCAGAAAGGAAGCCCGCTCTGTGTGGCGGTGCCCTAGACGTGCATGTCTCAGACCATCAAAAGGAGGGCTTGTAAACAAGCACTCCCACACGCCCCAGGCCTGCCTCACAAGCCCTCTCCTCTTCCTTATAAAACCCTTGCTTGCCTGGAGGGCAGTGCGGACCAAACCCCGATCCCTTCAGCTACCCCATGTTGACCAGCTGTAATTCATATCTGAGTAACCTAAATAGTAAAGCCCATGTCTCCCAGATTGACTTGTAATTTGGTTTCTGGGCTCTCGGCATCTAGCAACGGGGAGGGGCCATCTCTGTCTAGGGCATCATCTCACAGTGGGCGAGTCAGCCAGCAATCCAGAAAACTCCAGGAAGCCACTATGGACATGGGCCTGGAAACGAGAGTTCACGGGAAAATTTCAGGGGGGCATGGGTGAGGACAGAAGGCTCCCAACTTTGGATCCCTAGCCAGTTTGCCGAAGGGCCAGGGACCAGTGCTGGAGTATGGGCACACCCTGAAAACGTGGCAAGAATTGTTAGACATTCTGGAAGTAGCAGGAGAAAGCAAGACCCCAAAACCGTCTGAGCGCTTGGAGCCACGGCTGCTCGGCTCCTGGAGCTGCAGCTGGTTGGTGGAACCGGGACCTCAGGGAACACAGGGACAGAGGAAGAGTGCTCCGCAGTTAGAACAGGGAAGCGTGGGGGCATCCGAGCCTCGGCCACAGCCCACCTGCCTCTCTCCAACCAGACCCCAGAGACAGGGAGCCTGGCCTGTGATAACCAAGCCCAAGCAGGGGCAGCGTGGGATGCTGAGGACGACACCAGGGACATGCCGGCAGTAATGGCTCGCGCTGGCCGCCTGATTAAAGGCATGTAGGTGAATGTGTGCATGGGGTCCCTGATGACTCAGAAGGAGGAAATAGAGAGTCCTCCCCACCAGGTGTACGCCAGCATCCCGCTTCCAGGGGGGAGGGCAGCTTTGGAGCAGGTGCACTTTAAGTCGGTAGCACACCAACCACAGCATGTCTGGAGACGGGGAGTGGCCCCGTGGCACTGTCACTGCCGTCCCTTGGCTGGGGGAGCTGCTGTCTGAGAGGCCAGGGCAGCCCCAGCGGTCTTGAGAACAGGGGCAGAATTGGGGTGCACCACATCCTTGTGCTGGCTGGCAGAGCAGCTGACAGAGCAGCCAAGGGAGCTGAGACCCGAGAGCCTGAGGCGGGTGGGGGGTGGGGCGCGTGCATTGAGAGTGGACCTGCTTCCAGACATGACATGTCTGACCACCTGGGCCAGTTCCACCTGCTGTGCAGTTAGCGTTCTCCTCCACCCATCCTCCAGGGAGGGATCAGGCGGGACCTGTCTGCCTGTCCCTGCCCCACCCAGTAGGGACAAACAGCCTTGTTTGCCTGAAGGGCACAGGGTCATCAAAACCAGTGCTATCAGGTTAACCTGTGGCTCTTTGTCCCCCTTCCAACACGCTGCACCTGCAGCCTCGCCTTGTAGCCTGTGAGCTTGCGGGGACCAGGCAAGGGCCTGCCTGGCTTGGAAGACAAACTCCTGAGGTTGCCCGAGACAGATCATTCTCACTGTTGTGATTGACACACTCCAAGGCATATCCTGCCCCCATCGGGCCCAGAGCTTGCGCCCCTGTACCTGCTAGTAAAAAAAAAAAAGTGAAGGACCTTTGGAAAAGCCAGAGAAAAGCCGTAGAACAAGAAGGAGGAAAAGAGAAGTGCAGTAAGAGAAGAATTAGCCTTAGGGGGCGAATGAAAAAGAATTTGCCTTGAAGTGGAATGTCTGAGAACCTGAAGTGACAGAGCAAGTTATAGGTCAGGGAAGTTGGATCAAATTGTGTGTGTGTGCGTGTGTGTGCGTGCTGAGGCCAAAGTCTAACGGTATTGGCATGCGTGTTAAAGGGTTACTTTCATCCTTATCTTTGTCTGGTCGTCCTTGAAAACGAGGATCTTAACAGAACTCATTCCTGAGCATATTGAACACCTGACCATTTGAAGGCCAGCCTCTGGACAGAATCCAGCCAGGAGGGGGTTCTCTGGAGACGTCCAGTCGCAAATAAAAGCACTCAGAGCAGTCCTTGGTAGAATGCCTTTGTTATAAACGGTTAGTAGAGACCTCGGCACATCTGGCTAATTATCTTATTCAGCCTCCCACTAGCCCTGTCTGCTTTCAGGAGAAAGATGGGGCTTTCAATTCCCCTAAAGAGTTACAGTCTTGGAAACCCCCGGGGGCCCGTTCTACCCTGCCCTAGAAGGTCCCCATGAATCAGAGTGGACTCAATGACAGTGGACAGTGAGGGAGGGAGGGAGCCCAGTCTGCTGAGAACCAGCTGGTGTTCCTGTAAGAAAGATAGCAACAGGCAGTCAACTTAAGTCCACCCAGCAGACCAGGCCTTCAGGGGCCCCGAAGGCACAGTTTAGCAGATAGAGGCTTAGAGAGTGGAAACGCCAAAGCTCACAGCCATCGAGTCGATGCTGGCTCATCGTGACCCTGGAGGACTGCGTATAACTGCCCAAGTGGGTTTCTGAGACGGTAGCTCTAGACAGCAGTAGAAAGTCGCATCTTTCTCCTCTGGAGCTGCTGCTGGTTTCAAACCGCCAACCTTGCGGTTAGCAGTCCAGAGCGTAACCCACTAGCCACCAGGGATCCTTGACACAGTATAGCCCCTGGGAAAGAGGGTGACTTGGAGGCGGCCAATTATCCAGAAGGGTACAGCTCGAATCTGGGGCCAGAGCGATAAAAATGGCATATTCAGAGTCCAGTCACAGCCCTACTGTGTGCGGTGTACCATAGTTTGCAACTAGTGTAAGACGTTACCTAAGAGCCCCAGTGATAGTGAGAATGTCCTACCCCATACAGGGCCGAGTTAAAGACTTCACCAGCCAGGGGTGGTGTATTAGTCTGGGTACTTTGGAGAAACAAATCCACAG